CTGTTTCGTTCTTCATCTCAAGCTCTTTGATCCTTTTCCTTGGTGGCATTTGCATTAAAAATCAGATTAATTGGCATATAGTAAGCTGTGTTATATAGCATTGTAAAAAAGATCATTTAAAAAAAAAATAACAAGCAAGAATGCTTACTGAAAATCAAAATCCAGTGGTTGAGATACCTTTATCACAATTAGAAGTACAAAGACAAGAACATCAAGAACATTAAGATTCATTTTTAGTTGTTAATTTGTTTTTAGTTACTAATTTGTTCTTAGTTGTTAATTTGTTCCTAATTAATAAAAATCAATTTCAATCTAATTTTTTCTCGTATTTGTTTAGACATATTTTGAATTTACCTTTTGAATGTTAACATTGAATATGACTATATTTTTTATACAATACCTTTCTAAATATTGAATAAAACTGTATATTTTTATAATATCCTTATAAATATTAAATAGGCATTATATATTAATATATATTGGATTTATCTTTTGAATTCTAATTCTTAATGTCTTGATCTTCTTTTAATAAAAGTTAATGCCTTTATAAAATTATGAATTTTAAATATTGTATAAGTATTTATATTTAATATATATTTTATTTCCACATATATAATCATTAATCTTTCTCTTTTCTTTTCTTGAGATTAGAATAAAAATTGAATCATGAAATGAAAATTAGTGTATAATAAAGTTTTTTAACTAAATAATTAATTAGTATTGGATTTTGTTAAAAAAATATTAATATATATAAAAAATTAAAATTTTAATTTTAATTTTTAAAAAATTGAATCCATTCGACCCAATCAAAAACCTAGATGAATAAGTCATATGACCGAATTCAAAACCTATGTGAATAAATTATGAATCTAATCATTTAATTCGACACCTAACATCCAAAATAACCCAATCCAAACTTAACCTGTTTGCAAAGTCTAAGAATAAGAGAAAATAAAACACATTTATTGTGATAAAGAAACTCAATTCTCGCTGTCAAACTTAAAGGATTTGAATTCAAAACTTAAAATTGGAAGTCTTTGCCCCACTGTCATATCACGAGACATTTGCCAAGTTAAAGAATGGAGATTGGAGTGACTTAGAAGTAACTTATTCTGACTTCTGCTAGAATAGAAAGCAATAATTAACCAACTGAAAAACCCACTGAAAAACCCTTTTCATTCAGAGAAGGAAAGCATAAAGTTCATAGTGGAGCATGATTGCCAAATGAAGATGCAACGCTTAGCACGTTATATTTATTAGACTTTTCCTATCCCCACAACTGCTACCATTATCTTCATTCATGTATATAATTGGAGCAGGTAAAAGGCTTCATTGTTTCAGTCTCAATTATTAGGTATTTTATGCTATCTTTGTTATCCATTTAGGCAAGTATTAAGTGGGGATGTTAAAGCAGAAAACCTCCCCCAAGTACACTTGTATGGAGTTATGAAAGATTAGTATATATCCAAACATTTTTTTTTTATGATTAAATTTGGATCAGATCAAGATGCTAGTGGATGATCAAAGAAAGAAAATTTGCAGGTGCATATCTAACTCTGTATATTAATTCAATTCAGATTAAATATTTGTAATATTAGTTGCTAAATTTTAAAAAATCAAAACAAAAAATTAAAAATTACAATTATATTAAACAAAGCCTAATCAAACATTTCATTTGTAATATATATATATATATATATATAATAGTAAACGGTAAGTCAGTCTTCCTAAATTTTTTTACCGAATGACATATCTAAAAATTCACTTTTTAATTAATATTTTTAAAATTTTATTGTTAAATTAAGAGTTTATCAATCATGAAAGTCAACTTTCATATTGATATAACATTTAAAATTTTTTCATAAAAAATTTTATTTATTAATATATATTTAATAATATTAAAATTTTTTATAATCAAAGAATTGGTTAAACCTACTAAAACAATTTAAAAATAAACATGCATAATTTATATCAATAAAACTTCTAATCTAATAATTAATTTTTAAAAATAAAAATAAAAAATTAAGTTGTTAATCATATCCTTTAAAAAAAATTAAAAAAAACGGCTTACAAAACATTTCCTCACGCGCATATTATAAAAATATTTCCAAAAGTTTGACCGTTTACTCTTGAGCCAAAATAAAGATTTTACAATTACTCAACTAAGCACTTCTGTTAGTAGATTTTATTTATAACATACGTCAAGGAGAATGTGAACATTTTAGCCAACGTCGTCAATTGAAATATGTTTGTAATTCCACTTTTGTCAATACAAGTTTAATTTTCTTAATAAAACAAGAGAAACGTCAAGAAATTTTATACTAGTACATTCTTTATTTAGGGAAGGTTCAATCCATTTTCACGTTTCTTAATTTATTTTTCTATTTTATATTTTTCAATGAATTTCATTGAATCTTTTTTCATTAATGAATTTTTTGAGCAAGATGAAGAGAAATCTTACAAAAAAAAAAAAAAACTCTAAAAGTCTAATTTTTATAATTTAGATTTTTAAGGCTTAATTTAGAAATTACAAGATATTTCTAAAAATAAAAGAATTTAAACCATGAGCAAAGGTATCTAATAATGAAGTGGATAAATCGTAACTACCACTCAAGAAAAGTCTCTCTTTGGTCAACTTTGTCAATTGAAATATCAAAAACGTTTGTAATTCCATTTTCATTAATAAAAATTTAATTTTCTTAAATAAAACAAGATGAATGTCAAGAAGTTTTATACTGGTGCATTCTCTTATTTAGGGAAGGTGCAATTCAATCAATTTTCACCTTTCTTAATTTATTTTTTCCCTTAAAAAATTTTCAATGAATTTCTACCTAATCTTTTTCCATTAATGAATTTCTTGAATGTTATCAAAATGAAAATTCTAAAACAAGTGAGAATGTTTTTTTTTTTTTTTGAGGTTGTATTTTTGGTGCAATTTTTATATATCTTAAAATTAATTTTTTTAAATAATTTCAAAAATTACTTTAATATTAATTTAATATATTAAAAAATATTGATTTTCTTAAATACTAATATCGAAACTTAAAGATAGACAATGCAATGATGAATTTTTTTTTTTTTTGAGGTTGTATTTTTGGTGCAATTTTTATATATCTTAAAATTAATTTTTTTAAATAATTTCAAAAATTACTTTAATAGTAATTTAATATATTAAAAAATATTGATTTTCTTAAATACTAATATCGAAACTTAAATCTTAAAATTGATATATAAAACAATACTTAAGTAATTAGTAAAATCTCATATGAACTTTCAATGGTTAAAAGCTGGTCTAAAAAATTTAAATGTTTGTACCTTCTTGATTTACTGAGGGTATTCTTGATATGGTTGGAGTTTATTTAATTGTATTAAATTATAAAATATTAAATAATTAAAGAAAAAATTATTTTTAATATTAAAAAATTATTTTAATTTAATAATTAATATTTTATAACTTCAATTTTAAAATATTTGTGTGATTATATTCTAAAGATTTTTATTTTACATTTTAAATTATATTAAATTATAAAATTAAAATAATTAAAAATAAATAAATTCTCAATATTATAAAATTTGCATCTTACCTAAAAATTATTGTTAGGTGGTCTTCCCAACTGCATAATATATATATTTTTTATTTTTTAATATTGAGAACCTAATACTTCGATCAATAATTTTTTTAAAAAAAATGCAGTACGCAGGACGGCAAAATGGCATTCCCTATTACGTTATCATAAAAAATTAATTTTGGAATCTGAAACTATTAAAATAACAATATCTGAGAGTATCTTTAAAAAAGGAGAAAAGAAGACAGAACAATATAGGAAAGGCCAAAAGTCACCGGAGATCGTAATCTTTCAGACCCAGCTCCTCATTCTTTAAATATACCCTCCTACATGGCCTGAACCCCGTCGGCAGGCAGGAAAAACTAGAACTAGAACGCCATGGGGACGGCGGTGGAGAAGCAGCTGCATGTGGTACTTTTTGTAATTTACGCGATTCTGTGGAGTGTCGGCTGTGCAAAGGAGGAACAGTACGTGTCGGCAGTGGGGGACCCGGGAATGAGAAGAGATGGGTTGAGGGTGGCGTTTGAAGCTTGGAACTTTTGCAATGAAGTCGGTCAAGAAGCTCCAAACATGGGGAGCCCCAGAGCTGCTGATTGTTTTGATGTTTCAAGTGAGGAGAAGAACAGAAAGACTCGAAGAGTAAAGCAGGGTGTGTTTCTACTTTTTAGCTTTTTGAAAATTTATTGAATGAAATTTTCATTATTGCAAAATGGGTATTGATAGTCTTGAACTTGTTTAATTAAAGGTCTAAATGGGTCTGTTGTTGGTACAGATTCTTCTCTGTCCCTGACGCATAAAGTAACGGACGCTGATAACAAGCTTGGAGTAGGCACACCATTTGATGGATTGAATCCAAAATATTTGAACAGCCCAGATCTTTATGCAGTGCAGAAAGAGCTGTATCTAGGTACTAAATGTGAAGTCACAGAGGACCCAAAACCATGGCAATTTTGGATGGTTATGTTGAAGAATGGCAATTATGATACGAAATCTGGTCTTTGTCCTCAAAATGGGAAAAGGGTGCCTCCTTTCAGTCCAAACAAGTTTCCTTGCTTTGGAGCAGGGTGTATGAATCAACCCACCTTCAATCATCACAGGACAAAACTATTAGGTGATGGTACGATGAGAGGATGGTTCAATGGGACATATGATTTGGGTGCTGACACTGGTAGTGGAATTGATGGGATATCTTTCTATGAGGTTGTTTGGGAGAAGAAAGTAGGGGAAGGAAAATGGGTTTTTAGTCATAAACTTAAGACTTCAAAGAAATACCCATGGTTGATGCTCTACCTTAGAGCTGATGCAACCAGAGGATTCTCTGGCGGTTACCACTATGAAACAAGAGGGATGCTCAAAACTGTAAGTAGAATTTCTTTAGAATCTATCAGTTCTTTATTTGCCAATTAAGTCAAATCCCTTGTCTATTTTCTTATCTTGATGCCACATGGTCAATAATAGCACACGTTTAATATTAAGGATGCCTTGCTTCTAGTGGGGAAAAGAAAAGGAAAAAGGGGGATATTCTATGTTGTTTGAATCTATTTTCTTGATGACAAAAGTGCATTCCTCTTTGGCTAATACTAGCACATGCCTGTCATGGAAATCATGTGTTTAGTAGGTAAGGAAGGAAGTGATTAGTTGGAAGGCTAATGGGATTGGCCGATTGCTGGATTTTATTCGGAGATTGGTCTTATTTGAGACCTAACTTTGTAGTTGATCAAGACTCAACAATTAATCTATTTTTTTTCTGTGATTAAAAGTCATAATCTAGTTTTCTCTTCGAAAGTTTTGCTTATTTTTATGTTGACTGGACTTTCTGTGCTTCAATGAAGATTGCAGAGGCCAAATTCTGTTTTCTTAATCAGGATGTAGAGCCTATAGCATTTTTACCATTAGAAATAATAAAGGAAGATTAGGTTAGATTCAATGTCATTAAAATGACTTGTTTTTTCCTAAACTTTGATTAGGAGCAAAAGCTCCAAAACTTAAGCACTGCCATATCAAAAGCTCACCTCTACTTTCTTGTTCAAATGTTTCATTAATAAATTTACATTTTGTCCTTTCTTATTTTTTGAGTAGGACATGTGAAACATGTGAGCTTCTTTCCAGTCTTCTTTCTATTCCATCAATTCAGTAGTGACGAAGAAACAATTTGTTATTTTTCAGCTCCCAGAGTCACCAAATTTCAAGGTTAGAGTTACTTTGGATGTGAAACAAGGGGGAGGATCCAAGAGCCAGTTCTACCTGATCGATATGGGTAGCTGCTGGAAGAATAATGGAAAGCCATGTGATGGAGATGTGCTTACGGATGTAACAAGATACAGTGAGATGATAATCAATCCTGAAACTCCAGCTTGGTGCAGTCCCACGGCTTTGGTCAACTGCCCACCATACCACATTACTCCAGACAACAAAAAGATTTATCGAAATGATACTGCCAACTTCCCATATGGGGCTTACCATTATTACTGTGCCCCAGGCAATGCTCAGCATCTAGAGCAACCTGTCAGCACTTGTGATCCTTATAGCAATCCTCAGGCACAAGAAATAGTCCAGTTGTTGCCACATCCCATATGGGCTCAATATGGCTATCCAACCAAAAAAGGTGATGGATGGGTTGGGGATGCCAGATCTTGGGAGCTTGATGTTGGGGGACTTTCTGGTAGACTCTACTTCTATCAGGTTAGTATTTTGCATAATCTATGTCCATAATTGTCACTTTCAATTGTTCACGATGAACTGATGTTATTCAAATCTCAGGACCCAGGTACCCCTCCTGCTAGAAGAGTATGGACATCTCTTGACACGGGTACTGAAATTTTTGTAAGCAACCAAGATGAGATAGCAGAGTGGACCGTCAGTGATTTCGACGTTCTTCTCACATGACTCACAATTTTTCATTGTATAATTTATTACTACCATTGGCTGCAAGGCTGCAAGCGTATGCACAAAGGAAGAAAAAGATGTACTAAAACAAATAAAGAAGGTAACAAGACGGGGTTCATTCTTTATAATCCTTTATAGAGGGCCAGGATGAGAACCCAAATAAAGCTCGCAAGAGCCAGGGCATTCTTGATCCTGGATATCCCATCTCATTCCATACCTACTTGTATTCACAATGTCATAAACAGATCATCAAATGATCTGGACAGACGCAGTCTCGATTTTTCATTCACTAGTGAAATTATAAATCGTTTGACATTTTCCAATGTTTCTTGCGCAAATCATGATTGTAATGTCACCTAGTTTTGTAGATGCTGACTAACTAACCAACCCTGCAATTTGGTTAAGTATAATATAAGTAAAGCCTCCCCCTACTTAACATTATTTGGATCCAGCTTCCTGCAATTTTTGAAGATCATGTGTTGCAGCTACCCTATCATGACTATCACAGGGCCCTGCCGTGATGTTAGTAATCATCATTTATGCCAGTTTGGCTCTAGCATGTGGTTAGGCCACCTAACTTCTACCGAACGTTTTATTGTCAATAACAAACGCATCACGAAATTTAGGGCATGGATATCGTCTCTCGCAATTTTGTTAAAATCACGTCATTTAATTTAATTTGATTGTTAAAAATAATTATTAATTATTAATTATTATTTAATAAATTAAAATTAATTTATAAATTAATATTTTTAAATATCATAACAAATTATTTAAAATAAAATTATAATTAAACAAAATATCAAATAAATTAAATAATTTTTTAATAAACTTAACAAAATGTTGGGTACTATAACCACACTCAAGAATTTCACCTCATTTTAATCTACTGTTCTCGATATCGTTATATCTCGACAGCCCAGATCCACTACACAAAATAGAACCATTTAAGGCCCGAAACTAAAAAGCCCAACAGTTCTCTCCTTTGCACTCACAAGTCACAGCACATATCAGACCGAACCCTATAATCCTTAATATCATGCTATGTACAACAAAGCTGATATACGCACAATTTTTTCTCATAACAAATTCTGTCACGTGAGATTAAATAAGTGGACGTACTCTAAATTCCACCAAGTTTAGATTTCCACTCAGGGATGATATAGACTAGATTGGAATTTTGAGCTACTCAAGTTTCTTAGATTAGGGTTTGGTTTGGTGGTTTAGGTTGGCTAGTCACATGCTAGCTCCTGTCAATGACAAAGACTGAAGGCAACCCTTTGATTTTCATTGCAAATTATCTGCTGCTTTGCATTCAGTTGTAGTTTCTTAACAAAATATTTGTTGTTTTGCCTTCATTTGTTTTGGTTAGGTCTGTGAATTGTGCAAATCTTAAGAGCAATCTCTTATCTCTGCAATTTTAAGAATGCACTTCATCATACATTCATTTTTATTAGGCCTTTATTTGTGTACAAGAATACAAAGTTTAGAATATAAGTGTTGAGATTAACACTTATAAAATTAATTTTCTTAAATGTACTAGATTGATATAAGGAATGCACTTAGCAATACTGTAAAAATCGTCACCTAAGCTTGCTTGGGTGACATCTATGCGCTAGGCAACCCCATGCTGCCTGCCTTGACTTGAGCGGCAAGCAATCTCAATCTACCCTTACTTTTTGTTTTTACTTTTTTATAAAAACATTTTAAACCTAACCATTTTGTTTTTAATTTTTTTAACAAATAAAGAACAAATAACATTGGTTGGTTCTCAAGGGTAAACAAAAAATAAAATCCCCTAAATGTTGTTCATTCAAGGTTTCTACAATTTTAGTCCTTCTCCTTCACTTTAATTAATTGATTTTAGTTATGTTGATTCTAGACTTCTATTTAGTTTTGTTGATTACTTGCTTGTAGTCTTCTAAATGATTTGTTTTTCTATTTTTCCCATTTTTTTTGAAATTTTCAATTCTTTTTAAGTGGCGCAAAAATCACCAAGGTGATTTGAGACTACTTGTCACTCAAAGGAGAAAGTCTGTTGCATTCTAAGGATACCACGTCAATAGTATCCTGGACTAATCACAGCATGTTATACCAATTATTCTTACCAATTATTCTTTTTTACCTCGTTAATCATTATTAAACCACATCAGCACAATATAATGTGCTAACTATCAAGCTTCTCCACTAGGTCACTAATGAGGTGAAAAAGAAGAGATGATATAACATACTGTGATTGACTCAGGATACTGTTGACATGATATCCCTAAAATATAATAGACTTTCTTTGCCCAGAGGCACTAGCACCTTTACCAACACTACACATGTTGGAAAGTCAAAATATTTAACTCAATTTTGCTAACCTATCCTCACTATAAAAAGGGGAAAAAAATTGTACAGTGCTAATTCTTCTATCCCAAAATAAATGTCATATTTTGACCGTGAATGCATATTAAGTATTGCCATTATTATTATAATTAATTTATATTTTTTTTCAATAGAGTATCTCGACTACTTAAAAACTTAAGATTTTAAATAAATAATTTAGATTTTATGTTGAAAATCTTAAATTTAAACCTTAAGATAGGTGAAGAGGGATTTTAAAAAAAATAATTATCTCATATTGTATAGCATATCATTTGATATTAAAAAAATTATATTTTTTCCATTTCTAACTTTTAAGTTTTAAGAGAAATAACTTGCATTATTAAAAGTAACTAAACCGTTAAAATGGGAAAGAAAAATTAATACAACTTTAAAATGTATAGAAAAAAAAAACATAATTTGAGACGGTTTTGATCAAATTGAGATGGTTATAATTTTGATATATGAGTGCTACAAAGAGTGTAGTACAATTCCATTGAATCCTTAAAAAATACCCAATTTTCAGATTTTCCAATGTACTCCATAATTGCTAGTACAGGGGAGAATTGGATGGTAGTACATTCTTGTACTATCATCCCTTTTGAATTTGTAGCATAAATATGTCATGAAGAGCCAGAATGGTACAGATCATGTTCCTGGGTTGGCTCAAAGGTGCCAAGGATGTGCATTTGTCAAGAAGGGTGAGATCATTCTGGTGATGAACTCAGAAAAGTGTGTTTTTGAGGTAAGATTGAAAGGGGAGAAGTAAAAGAGAGAAACAGACAGAAACAGGGAACAGGCAGAGCATGGATGGAAATGCTAACAGATTCCTGTTTCCTCTCTACCCATGCACTGCCTCTTCCCTGGCTCTGTCTCCTCAGTTTCTTTTCTCCTCCGTCCCTCTCTCATTCCCATTTCCTTTTTCTAAATTTGATTTCTTTTAATTGATTTAAGATTTCAGATCCCCTTCCCTCCAGTGTAGGTACAGGTACATGAAGCACTAAGCATATGTTGTTGTATGTTGCCCTACAACTCAAAAGGGCAAACCATCTTCTCTTTTCCCATTTTTTTTTTTCAACATAGGTATTAATATCTTTGGCCCGATTGATGTCACCAGTACCTACAAATCTTCCTATTCATAAGCAGAGACTCCACTTTGAAGGGACAACTTCGATACAATGTTAAAGTGACATGTTGAAATTTGAATAGTCTTAAGTTAGAATCTTACCATTTTAGTGAGCTAATCTCCTAAAATATGTTGATATGGCAAATTTTGCCATTTAAATTTTGACTTTATTTTGTGGTTTAGAAAAGGAAACGACTAGAATTGAAGTTCCTTCCATCCTGATATGGTCTCAATCAAGAGAAGTCGTGATATATGCAGCTACATGTGCAACAAGTGAATCCTTTGTTTCCTCCCGTCAAAATGATATGGGATCATTCCCATTTCTCAAATCAAAATCCAATCACAATTAACAGGTGCGAATTACCATCAGGTTAGGTTGTTGACAAAAAAATTGGCAGTGTATTTTATTTGGTTGATTCTTATTAGTCTTGTAAAGAGCAATTACCATCAGGTTAGGTTGTTGACAAAAAATTTGGCAGTGTATTTTATTTGGTTGATTCTTATTAGTGTCATAATTAAGAGCATTCTGTTTTTTTTTTTTTTAAGATTACATTGGGAAACCCAATCATTAAACTAATTGGGCTTTCATGAGATGACTTAATTATTTAAAAATATGAGATTTTAAGTTTAAATGTTTAGTTGAATAAAAAAAAACTTAAAAAAATAAGAGGATTATTACCTCTTATATAATTCATTATTAGATTATAAAAATAAAAAATCATTGAACTAAATAAAACTAATATAAGCCTCGAATAAATTTTAACATGCCAATTCTTGAACTTAAAACCTTAAAATTTCAAAGTCTCCGCCTTGAAGTCCAAGGCTTCACTGGCAGGACAATTCTGGGAGAAGGCAGAAGCTAAGCAGTTCATATTTCGGATACCATAGTAAGTGAATGTAAATGAAGGAATGACCAGTTCACAGATGATTCAGAGTTTCTGAGCAGCTAACAGTCTAGTGACATAAAAAAATAAAATAAAAACAAAATACCTAATATATAAGGCCGGTTAACTTCTAAGCAGAGGTTTCATTTTCCTTAGGAACAACTTATGTGTGGCACTGGAATTGATACACAAGTAGAATATCCAGCCTTTTTCTCATGCCCTGCATTTTTACTACTAATGAACTTTGTCATGTAATCTGCTTTCATAAATCCACTGCTTCCCCGCTCCAGAGATCAGTTCAAGTTCACTTGAACCAGCAACCTGTAAAACAAATACCACAAAAATCAGAACAATCGACAATGTTCAGTTTATGTACCTAATGTCAAAATTGAAAAAGCATTTTTATAGCAACATGACATTAAAGAGTGAATACATACTGATTCACAAGTCCTGTGAGTGAAACGAGTCTGTCACAATTCCGAGTAAGATTTGGACTGTGAGTCTATTTTGAGATGATTGTGTGCGTGAATCATTTTCCAACATAGATCCATGGAAAATTTATAGACTCAAATTCATTGAAATTTATTTAAAACTAATGAACTAAGCATGAAGGATTTAATGCATATATATATATATATATATATTAAAGAAAATGAAATTGAACTTTCCTCTTTGTTGAAATGATGAAATCTAATGAAAATCACCATCAAGAAACACCAAGAAATTGCGGAACGGAGAAAAGTAAAACCCAAAAAAGGCAAATTCAAGTTGCAAAATAAGATAGATTACATACTCGTTATCTTCATCAGTCCAGTATACAGACTGAGCTTCTCCCAGTTTATGGTCCAAATTCCCTGACTCTATAAGCTGCAAATCCTCCAAAAGGATCACATAATGTTTCTGCACCTCCTCTGCACTCTTCTTCCCTCCAACCATGGCAGCAACCACCTCCCACCGATCTGGATGATGCTCATCAACCACAGCCAGAGCCAGCTCAAACAACTTGTTCTCCTCCCAGCTCCACCCACACAACACCTTGGGAAAATGATCCATGTATGTGTCCTATGCTAGAACCAAAACACTACAAAATTCTTCCCTTGTTTGGGGAAAATAAGGAAGACCCAAAAATAATAGTCACATTCTAGGATTCATCGAAGACTAAGAAGCAAAGGGAGAAGAGAATCTTTTGGGATTGCTGAGTTTGATTCTCCTCTTGACTCTCCCTGTGTTCTTAGGGGGTGTCAAGAAGTCTGAAATGAATAGAAAATCAAATCATCTCCCTTTTCTCTTTGTGTCTTTTTGTCAGAGACAGACAACAGGACTGGCTTCCCTTACTCCAGATCTAACCATAGGCAACCAAAACAACATAAAATAATGGGTAAACTCAGCAAGAAAAATAAAAAAACTGTAACCTATGGCCCAAAACAGGAAACCAATGATAAAAAATGGACAAAAACCTTAGACCTCATGAACCATTCCTTTGAAATACTATTGTTTTTTCTAATTCTAGGAGTGGATTCCAAAGGGTATTAGATCCAGAGAAATGAACCAACAATAGAAAAGAATCAAAAGATCTCACCTTTGAACCAATAAAAGATTTTTTAGATCTTCCCAAAATTTCTACCTTGCAAGTAAAGAAAATGACCTCTGTGGATGGGATTCAACGGAACACGTTACCTGATTTTCCCTGAATTTCCAAGCAATTATACAGTTCATTCATTGCCAATTGGGTCGTCGTCAATGACTTTAAAGTGGGTAAAAAGACTTTTGGGTGTAGAGGATGTTAAATTGTAATATGTAGTCCAGGACTGATATCACAACTAGGTATACAGTTGCATCTTTCTTGTCTCTTCACCTCATCACCTATGACAAGCCATTATTCCAATTCAAAACCTCTACCAACCAATAGTAAGTATAGAAAAAAAAATTATTGTTATTATATTGTTCTATCATGATGAATTAAGTCAAAATTATTTAAAACTAAAGAATTATGATCATATTGTCATATCATTATATTGTAAAAAATTAATAAAATAAGGAGTAAAATAACTTACTAACTAAACCAAACCATAAACCAAACCAATCTTTCAAGTGAAGTATGCATTTTCTTTATTTAGGAGTTTTTTCCATACTAGATATGGTGGTGGAAAGTAAACCAATCCAAACCCAACTTTTTCCATAATTTCCTGGGGTAAGAGTTTGATCTTTTGTTAGATATGTTCATCTGTCTCCTTCAGCCCGGACACACCTGGACCCAGGGGATTTGCACCATATCTTTGGGCTTTACGTGTAGCCTCTCAAATTCCCCCAATTATTAATGCCAAAGACAACGTACAACAACTTGGTTTTTTAGATGAGCAAGCTTTAGATAGGAACAGTATATACATTTCTGAAAGCCACAAACTGCCCAACGGACATCCTGTCGCACTCATTTCCCAGCCTTGTTTGGAGATAATTTATCTTGCAAGCAATCATAAATTTATCATATCTTGATCTATTTTTTGAGATAAACAATCATGCTTTTTTGTCCACTTATATACGTTAGTTAATATAATCCTCTAGAATGAAAAGAAAACGATTAATACATCTCAGCAACCAAGATAGTGTTGGTAGATAAATTTGTGCTCTGAAAAGTTCAATAGGAACAAAAGAATGAGGAGGTCTCCTCATTGTCGCCTCCACTTTTTCTTTTTACTTTTCTAAATTTTTTAGAATTAAAAAAAAAAATTACAATCAAGTTAATCAAGGTTCGAGTGCTAGCAGCACTAGGCAAGCATTTCTCACAAAAGAATATATTTCTGTACCACAACTCCATGCTACAGATATGCTTGCTCTTAACAGATTAATTTTTCTTGAAATACAAGAGGAAATAAATGGTGGGCAATAGTATTATGGCATTACTAACCGACATTAGAATCATTTTGATGCTAAAAATGATAATTGTTGAATGGAAAACAGCTGGGCTGAAAAGAGGGCTATTGAATGGAGGATTGGTGTCACGGAGTAGAGCTGAAAGATGCAATGGCATCCATTTCCTGCTGTAGAAGAAGCGCATCAATGAAGACATCCAGATTCTCACCCTGCATTATATCATTTATAGCATGATGAGTGATGCCAACTCGATGATCAGTGACACGCCCTTGAGGGAAATTGTAAGTGCGGATACGTTCAGATCTGTCTCCACTACCAATCTGTTCAAGGAGGTAGGTTAAAAATAAAAATGCGAAAAGGAGATTCCAAAAGACTAAATAAGTCTTCATCTTAATAATCACTTTAAATCAATAATCACTTTTTACCTGCTCTGATCTGAGCTTTGACTGGCTGAGCTGAATTCGAGACCTCTCCATTTCATACAGCTTTGCACACAACACCTTGAGTGCTTTGGCTTTATTCTAGAAATGAACCCAAAAGAAAAGGCCAAAGTAAGGGGAAGAAGAAACCATAAAACGTATTGATGCATAATAATAGAAAGCTATGAAATGGTTAGCAACATGAGTATACTGTATGTTACGATGTGGCCAAAAGTAAAAGACCCAGTGTCATAAAACTGGATGCCTTGTTAACTTATCTATATTGAGATACATGACACAACTGTTTTTGAATTAAAATAAAGAACCAGAATTACATATGGTAATTCACAACACCGTTCTTGCCATTTGACAATATAGAAAAAGTACTGCAACAACAAAAATATTAGACAAATTTATATGATTAGCAGGATAGTCTCCTTATTTCTACAAGAGGGCAACCAGTCAACAACAGAAAATAGTGCCTTCAAATTTGTAACTTGTAAAACATTACCATATGAATTGATAATCATTTTTTGTCAGTGTATAAATTGTTAGTCTCAAACATGATCCAGCAGATATAAATTGTACCATTATTCAATAACATATTCCTCCTCTGCTCTTGATTTGGAAAGACATGGAAATCCATTCATGTGACAATATGCAGAAGGAGCAAAAGAACAAGAAATCCATGTTTCCACCTTCACAAATACTATCCTAACAAATGGAAAAAAAATGCCAATTTCGTTCCAAAGGTTGAAGATAAAGTGATGCAAATATGTAATAATGATTAGGATCTTTTACCATATGTTGGGATCGTTCATCCTGTATAGAGACTGTTATTCCAGTTGGCAAATGAGTTACTCTAACAGCACTATTAGTAGTATTTGCATGTTGACCACCAGAACCACCAGATCTGTAAGTATCAATCCTCAAATCTTCATTCCTTAACTGGACATCGACCTACAGAAGCCCAAATATGGCGATCAGTCAAAGACAGCCAAAGATTTTACTAGTTTAGCAACTTAATATATACATATTAGTGACAAAAAGGATAACTCTCAAATGAGTATATCCCAAAAACTGACAAACAACATTAAATAGACAACAAATCAATATCTTTAAGCACCTCATCAGCCTGAGGCAGAATAGCAACAGATACAGCACTGGTGTGAATACGTCCAGACTTTTCAGTCACAGGAACACGCTGCCAAAAGAAATACTTTTAGTTATTTCTGCTCTAAGTCGCAAACTACTACAAGAAGTGGCAGCAATGAAACCTGAACTCTGTGAATTCCACTTTCAAATTTAAGTTTCCCATAAACTCCAGCTCCAGATATTGCTGCGCTAGCCTCCTGATAAGAAGAAAGAAGTCAAAGTATATGAATATGACACAGACATAAGATACACCCTTATCTGATACAAAAAGTTTAGATTACAAACAAGATACACTACATAAAAGACTGAAAGACATACCTTATATCCTTTCAGATCAGACTCGGTTATATCTACCACTTCAAACTTCCAACCCTTCTTAAGTGAGTACCTCTCATACCTGTTCTTAACACAAAAGAAAAGGAAATGGCTCTCAAGTCAGATGTGCCTTGTGACTGATCATTCTAATCCTTTATAGGGGTTGTTTGGTATAGTAATTTGAAACTAGCGATTAGCGGTTTCATCCAATCTGACCGTTGATAATTGCTATTATTAACAATTAAAAAACTCTTCTTCATTAGATTAGATAAAACCACTAACCACTAGTTTCGAACGGCTATACCAAGCAGCCTCTTAGTGGTATGAGAAACACATGATTTCAATCTTGCTGTCAAAACTCACATTTTAAACACATCCATTGCAAATAAAGAAGCCTCTTCTCCACCAGTTCCTGATTAAAGCTTTTGTCAAGTTAATAGCATAGAAAAAGAGGATAAAAACTAAAAATAACAAACAGAAAAAACAATGACATCACACTTAGATGTGCCTCTTTCCAGCATTCATTACCTGCTCTCACCTCCAAAATGCTGTCCCTCTCATCAGCATCATCTTTGGGAAGTAATGACTTCAGGAGCAAAACCTGCAACCTTTTCTCTTCTTCCAGAGCCTGACCTAATTCCTCTGTTGCTATATCAAGCATGTCTTTATCTTGAGGACATTCAACCATCAATGACCTTAAACCATCCATTTCCTACAAAAAGAGGGGGGGAGAGAGAGGGACATCAAACTGTGGCCCCATTGCAAAATACTGCTTAGCAGCAACTGCAGACCCTGCATGGCATATATATTTATTTTTTGGCCCATAAACACTGCATATCATTTACTCCTAATCTTTTCTTAGAAATCAGACACACATCCTTCTTACTCAATGATTCAGTCAAGGCCTTATAAAATTGGAGAGAAGGACAAGTTAAGTGGAAATAGAGTTTACCACCAACTGGCGCTTTGATTTATTATTTAAATTTAAAATAAATGTGTAGCATCATACCCCACACTAACAACTGAACACAGAGGGGCAATCGCACAAGTAAATGGACATCAAAATTTTAACTGAAAGGAAAAAAAAAAAAATATATATATATATATATATATATATAGAGAGAGAGAGAGAGAGAGAGAGAGAGAACATCACTTAACCCTTTCATTATGTTAATAAGCAACCAAAAATGTAAAATTGAGTCAGATTATTCAGCAAAACTACATATATCTAATGTTATGTCAGGAAAAAGATTGGACAACGTAGCTTACAGGCATACCATCTTCTCTTTTGGAGTTTTTTTATTAAATATTAATCAAGTGTGATGAGGATGACAGAAAATGAAAATAAAGAATCAGAGCAGTTCAACACCTTCTGTTTGGTCCTCAGTTGACTGATAAGTTCCAAAGAATCCCCTAATCTCCGAAGCTCTTTATTAGCCCTAGAATACTCTGCTGGAGAGGCTTCTGGCTGTCTTCAATCAACAGAATAAATAGAATGGAACATACTCAATAACCATTTCTCTTAAGTAAAACAAAAACAAGGTATGATACCAAATATAATGCAGACTATTATTCAACATCAGATACACAACTTCTATAGCCAAAAATCGAAAACACAGAAAGCATTACCTGGTTGATAAGATTCTCCAAGAAAGCACTCCTCCGTTCAATAGCCGACAGCCTTTGTTCCATGATTCTAATAAGGTCAGTCGATAGCTGCAGCTGCAACTCTGCTGATTTAAACAAGAAAAAAAAAAAAGGTTCAATCTTTTATAACCACCCTAAAATCAATTCCACCATCTTTAAACAGAAAACATAGCAGAGCTTCTCTTTCTCCTTCCTAGTTCAATATGCAATGAATTACAAATACATCCACTTACTCAGAATAAACATAAGCATTTTTCTCTTCTATTATCTTGAACAAAATACAAATAACAACTACATAAATTCTCAAAATCTGTTTTTAACTTCTTAAAAATATATCTACTTCATTGAAATTTCATTCTCTACTCATCTAAAAACCTCCCCCCGCTTCTCAATTGATTGTTAAAAAAATTTATATATAATACTAAAAAATTAAAAGAAGAAACTAGAAAGCTTACCAGTGGAATAAGAATGAGAAAGTGAAAACGAGGAACTGTAAATTGTGGATAAAAGGAATGATCTTTGAAGGTTAGGAATTGCAGAGATTGACTGGAGCTGCGAGAATGATTTGAGAACATTAATACTCCAAATGAACCCTCGACTTAATATCCTCATCTTTGTTTCTTATTCCTCTTCTTGGATCAACCAGATTGCTGTCAGAAATTGGAATCGCCGGTGAAGAAACGGCGAGGGAGGGACTGTCCTTTTGCTCTTCTGCTTCCCTCCGCAGCGGGGTGATGGAAGGGACACGAGCACGCTCCTTAGTCCAAGCTCAAAACGCACCGTCTAAAGCTGTTGACAAATTTAGTGCAAGTGGTCCGGACCCTGAAAAATGAGTTGATCTTTATACTTGGGTCCCCAATCTTATAAACCTTTCACTAATATCCTTATGTTAATTTTCTGATTCTCCATTAAAATCAAACGGTAATATATATATATATATATAAAGAACTTATCTTTCCTCATATGATTTATATACAGCATAAAACATAAAAATATATATATGATTTATGTTCACTAAATAATATTACAACATTAAAAAAAAAAAAAAAAGAGTTGAAGAGCCTATGTTTTTCATGTTCCTAGCCTCCAAACAATAATGGAAAGCCTCTCTTGTGAAAATGTTCTAGTTTTGTCCAAATATTATTTAATTTTTTCCTCACTAAAAACTAAATACTAAAAACTTCTAAATTAGAATGTCAATTTGGCTTGGAATGGAATTCCATAAGTTCAGATCCAATTCTCCCGAGATTGAAGGAATGTTTGATGGGTGAATTTCATTGCAGTAGCCTTGCTAATTAAATGGAGGCTAAAACCTAATTTTAGCTCTTTACCTTAATAATTTTGTAGGTTTTAACTTCTCCCCTTATATTGTGATACTTTTAGCCTTTTACCTTAAGAAGTTTGTAGATTTTAACCCCTCAGCTTATAGTATAACACTTTTAGCCATCATCTATACGTATTGAAGAAAATAACCCTTACTTAAGATCAGGTTATAACGTTTTATTAGTTTTATTAGCTGACTGTTAACTCTATTAGCTGACTGTTAGCGTTTCGTGAGTATTTTGTTAATAGAATTAACAAATAAAATTAAATTTAAATTTCATGTTTTTTATAATGAAATACTAACAGATGCTAACAGTCAACTAACAGAACTAATAAAACATTATAACTTGATGTTAAGTGAGGGTTATTTTCTTCAATTCATATATGTAAAGGGTTAAAAGTGCAATATTAGAAGGTGAGGGGCTAAAACTTATAAATCTATTAAGATTAAGATAAAAGGCTAAAAGTGTCATAGTATAAGATGATGGGCTAAAACCTATACTCTTATTAAGATAAAAGGTTAAAATTAAGTTTTTGCCTTAAATAGAAGCTTTTCCACTTAACTCTCCTGGAGGTGTCAACACCTAGTCTTCGGTTGTTGTATTTGGCATAATAGTAAGTGTCAAGACCAAAAGTTCCTTTCCACAGCATCCATCCATCAGGTTGGATGAAAATTCCCAAGGTTGATTCCATGATAATGGTGCTAGAATATTGCTTCCAAGGTCTTCCTAAGAATGTTGGAAGTTTGAATTGGTCAGGGAAGATCTTCCTCTCTAGAACAATCTGACAATTTCTGATAACAAAACCAGTGTTCTCAAAAGGCTTTTGTTTTCCCTATGCTATTATACTGTGCTTTGTTGGTTATCCAATGGCCTCTTGACTATAGGGATGGCAATTTCCTCCACGACCCACGAAGATGCTCGTCATGGGGATGAAGATTTCAAGAATATTCATCCAAATGAGGCAAGGATGGAAGCATTTTTTTTTCCTATGAAATTTTGTGGCAAATTTCTTTCGCTTATAAGGACTTGTGGGGATCCATATAAAAAAAATGAATAAATAAATTTATTTTTATATATTTTTTATAAATATATGAACAATTAATTTTTACTTAGCCAATCTAATTAGCTAATCCAATACCAGCACAACCTAAATTTCACAACCCATTCTTTTTT